TCTACGGTTATCGGTCTCCAATCTTTTGAAGTCTATACTGAAATTCACGAAATATTTTATCCGATAATTTCTGTCACTTAAACTCACATTTGAGAATAAACATAATACTTTAGAATTAATTATCATCAACTAATTTACCTTACTTATCATAAAATTTCATATTATTGAAATATACGAATTAACGGAAAATCATTATCTTAATCCCATTAATTATCAGGATTTGTACTAAGGAAATTTCTGGACATTACATCGACAGCGACGGTGGATAGAGGCGACAAAGTTTGCCGGTGTTTAGAGAGAGAGAGGGAAAGTCTGAAAGAGAGAGAAGACAACCGAAAAGAGAGAAAAGATGAGAGAGAAGGTGGGAGAGAAGATGAGAGAAAAGAAAGATTTTGGGAAAAAAAGAAAAATGAAAAATGAAAAAATAGTGGCATCAAAACTCTTTTTCAAAACTCTTTTAATGACATAAATAATATTTGTGAAAATCATGGCAAACCATGTACCTTTTCTCTATCTTTATAGTTTCCGTGTAACTTCGTTCTTTCGTATGTGCACAATTAAGTTTGCTTAAGTGTAGCATTTAAAAGATGTCATCCAACATATGTAACATCTTCCACACATAAAAAAAAATAATATTACATGATAATATGAAAGAAATTATATTTGTAAAATCCGAGAAAATCCTAAAGTAGATATTTTAATTATAAAATTTAACTTAAAATTTTTCTTGTGAAATGTATATTTTTACCTTTAAAATGGGAGGCCAACTTCCGTATCAACGAGACATGCGGTATGCCAATGACGTGGTACATGTATTGAGACGGTTATGTAATTTTTATTAAATATTCATCATTATGATTAACTATGATCAAATTCTATTTGAAGTTATGAATTAGCATGAATTTTGATGATTAAAAAAATGTCTTGATGACTTTCTTCAAGGATCTAAAACAAGTGTCCAATAAAGAAAGAATAATAAATGGGAATTTCAAGTGATACAACTTAACATAAATTTGGATGTTAAGTATAGAATTCTCGTCATATGGATATTGTTTGATGATTGTTTAACTTATTTGATGAATCTTTAAACCAATATCAATGATTGCTTCTATGCTTTTCATGAAAATATATATAATGAGAAGATAATGTGTTTGCCGAATGATAATGTCCATTTTCATGAATAAGTCACATTAGACTCTTTGATGATTTAATTAGAAGTCAACCTCAGTAAAAATTTCATATACCAGTTCTTTATTACAAGAAATCCTCGAGAGGATTAGCACCTTACGATGTATGACATTTCTTTCAAATAAGTGTATTAAACATCATAACCCTAGGGTTCATCCAAAAGTTGCTAGAAACATAAACTAACAACCAAAAACCCATCCTTTAATCATTGAGTTTTCAATACCTTTATTAATCTTATGCTTCATCTTAAACAAACTTTCTCCATACTCTCTACCATATCCAAGCATTCGGCCAAGGTACGGCCAAGGTAAGAAAATGAGAGGAACAATTGAAATCTCACCTTAAAAGAACGAAGAACAAGTTATGGAGTCACTAATCCTCGGTAGTTCGATCGATTTTTGCTTAAAACTCACTTCTCTTCACTTTGGTAAAAAATTTTCTCTCTCTCTTGGCCGGTTTTTCTCTCCTCTCCTGGCATAAAAGTGAACATTTGATGGTCCTCTTTTACCTCTTAAACCGGTTGGAAAAAGGAAGAAGGACCCAATTACAATTTCTAACTTTTCAAGGTCCTTTTTTTGCAAAATTTACTAAAAATATCTTTCCTTTCCTTCTTTTACAAGCTTGGCTGGCCACCTCTGTTAGGAATGCCCTAAGCAGAAAAAGACATTTTATGTATTTTATTTTTAAACTGATTAATAATATATAAGAGGTTATTCATTACATTGCTATATGTCATCATCCTATTTACATGTTAAAGTAATTATAAGCAAATATGGCTCATTGACTATTTGATGTTAAACTGTTAGGATGTTGCATGCAATGGTTGTTTTTGTATGCAAGAAGACAACGTTCTAAAGTAAATAGTCTAAATTCATAGTCTATAGTATAAGGGGTTATAGTGAGCATCTAACTCATGTTAAGACTATTATGTTGTCTAAAGCCAATTGGGGAGACGGTTTGTCTTGACTGTCTGGAGCAAGTTGGCTCCCGAGTAGAGACATAGATATGTTGCCTAGTGGTGGTGACATATTGGACTTGGACTAAAGTGTAATTAATCCATATAGTCCGCTTGAAGAGATTAATTCACTTTTGACATTCATTATGCAATAACCTTAATCCTGAGTATGTAAATGGCTTCATGTATATAACTTGTGTACTGAGATGTTCCGAAGGCAAAGGCGTCTCAAAGTAGTAAGCTAATAGACCGGTTCGTTGGGTACACAATTTATATTCGATGAAGGGTTTACTTATAGATATGGAATCATAGCTCTTATGAAGAGTAAATGTTATCCTCTTAACGGCATTATACTAGATTGAGAATGGACAAGGCCTTGGATCGTTTTCTTGGCAAATGATTTGTTATTCATATATGGTGAATAATTATTTTCGTATCGGATGTATAATGGATCTTTAAGATAGCGTGATCAAAAGGATTAACAGACTTTAACCTAGGTTGATCAAGGATATCATATGAGGGTATTGCATTTATGACAAGGTCATTAGACAAAGTAATCTACTGGCTTACGTAATTTGATATGTAATTGGGAGTGTAGTTTCAGGTTTGTAGTGGCATGACTCTGAAACTAATAATTATGTAATTGTATTATTTGGTATAGAATAATGATTACATGAATTATTGGAGCCCATATTATATTTGTCCAATCGGTCCCTTTACTAGCTCCGCGTAATTCATTTATGGATAGTAATCAATTGGGATATTCATTATGGCTTTAATCCTTGTACTTAGTAAAGAGAAAAATCCGGACACCTCACTAATGGTATAGGCTTTTTTCTAAGCTAAGAATGGAATGAGAATTTTTGTTTGATTTGATTAATAGGATAAATATTTAATTTGGATAAATATTTAAAAAAAAAAGATAAGATGTGAAATTTAAATTGATATGAGATCAATTTGAATTCTAGAAGATATGGATAGATTAATTATTTGAATGATTAATTTAAATATCTAAATGATCTTATCTTAATAAAGAAATATTTTTAAATATGGAGATTATCCTATTTGTTATTGAATTGAAACAAAATCTTATTCTTGTTACTCTAATAGATGGCACCAACCTTGTGGATAAGGTGGAGAAGATTTTTTTCTAATTTGATTTTATTTTGGATAATTACTACATAATTGTTTGATTCAAATGAAGTTGATATGATTTTATTTGGAATCTAAACTGGATTTATGGAACATTATCCATGGAGATAAAATCATAAAATAAATATGATTAAATTTTGAAACAAAATTTTGATATCCTATTCTAAGGGTGGCCGAATTTTCTAAGCCTAATTTAGGAGAGAAAATTGCCAACTTCAAGGATGAGAGGAGATCAAAATTTGAAATAAATTTTGGATATTCTATCCTAGATGGTGGCCGGTTTTAACAAGGAAAAACCTAAGGATATTCGGCCACACTTAGAGATAAGAGAGAAAAAAATCTTTTCCAAAAATCCCACCTAGTGTGCTCATTATGTTAGCATTTATACCCTTAGGAATAAATGTAACAATGTTTTTTGAGACATTTTTACTATTAATAAAGATTGATTTATTTCATATATCCATGTATTTTCCTCTTTATGTTCATATTAGTTGAATGTATGATAAACAAACTAAAAGTCTGAGATTGTCATTCTAAATCTTTTGGTCATGCATGTAATGAGAATAACATGCAGAATACATGAATTTAAAGATGATAGTCTAAATCATATGATCCACAATCGAGAGAATAAAGTTGGGCGCTTTATTCATATTAAGATTGTTATGTTGTCTATTTTCAAATGGAGATGGCTTATCTTAGTCATCGGAGGTTGGACTCCATGGGTAGAGACATTGATATAGTTTCTAATGGTGAAATCTATATTGGGTTAGACCAAAATTGAATTGTTTTAATTAATAATTTTGTTTGTATAAAATAATTTACTTTTGACGAATTATATGTGGTAATCTTAATCCTGAGATGGATAATGAACCCGTATGCTAGACTTGTTTCATTTGATGTACCAAAGGGAGACATCCTGACATTATGTAAAGGTACGCTTACCGGTATATTGGGGGTATGACTCGTGTATGCGTAGATTCGTTATTCATAGATACTGGAATCCATAGCTCCTACAAAGAGTCAATGATATCCTCTTATGCATTATCTGTGGATTGGAAAATATGAACGCTTGGCCATTAGACTACTCTGCGTTATCTAATGGTTTACTATTTATAATGGTACGAATAGTGATTTTCCGATGGAGCGGTAATGGAACATAAGATAAATATAATCGGGATGGTAAGACAGAACTTGACCTCAAGTCGATTATGGATATCCTATGGGGATGATACATTAATATATTGTGTCATGGATGAGAGCTATTCAAAGCTTTGTAAATATGCTATATAAATCGAGAGTACAGCTCTAGACTTTTATTAGAGTAGCACTAGAGTTTTGTAATCATAAGACGTATTTGTTGGTTTACAAGTAACATTGTGATTATAGGAGCTTAATTTATATATGTCTATCGGGTCTCTTTTGCTAGCTCACATGATTTCCTGTAACGATACGGTGTATTTCCTACATATTAGTAACTTGTGTTATTTCCGTAAAAGAGATTCAAAGTTAATATGAGATTAGTTAATTAATTTATGAGTAATTTATCAGGTGGATTAATTGTTAAATTAATTAGATAAATTGGTTAAATTATTATTGTAAGAGTTATATAATATGAGAAGACTATTATATGAATATCGTACATTAAACTTATAAAAATGAAAAAAAAAATTATTTCTAAGATAAATCTAAAATAATTAACACTAAATTGTAAACAAAAACTTTACAACATATGATATCAGTTTTTTAATAGGATTTGACCCGCGCTAACAAACTAGTTTGCATCACTATTATCAGTACAATACAACAATACAACAACAAGTCTTAATTCCAACTTAATTAGAGTCGGCTTAACAAACTAGTTCCAAGAGATATTTACAATTGTGGAACATAGCTGGTAGTGTTAATGTATACCTTCCTTGAAAGGACCAGAATCATGCAACAGTTTCATGACAAGCTTAACCTGCAAGTTAGAACCATAATTATTTTAGATGAACTAAAATGACATAATCAAAAACGAGAGAAATAAATTAACAAAATAAAATATAAACAGAAAATAGAAAACGGGAATAAACTGCAAGTTCGTATTTATTACTTTGAAATTTCTGCTTTTGGTTTTGAGTTTTAGTTTTTTTTTTAATTGTAATATTTTTATTTTTTCCTTTATGGAATCCTCTTCCATCTCGAACCTTATCTTGTAACTGTTTCGTTGAATGAAGTATCCAATTTCTTATATATACATAAAAAAAAAAAAAAAAAAAAAAAAAAAAAAAAAACCCTGGTAGAGAGAGGATGGATGGACGTTGTAGAGTAATACAAGGGACACACTAAAGTCCCGTTCATTTCGCCGATTCGAGTTTAGAATTCAAATTTTGCTACAGTAAAAAGCTCTCATAAACAGTCACATCTAACTTTTTTGCTACAATAAAAAGCTCACATAACGTCACATCTCAACTCGAATCAACGAACTAAACGGGCCCTAAGTCTCGTACACCAACTTTTATGCTATGTTCCGTTTGATGAAAAAGACGAAGGAAGGAAGTGGGTGGAGAAATTATTGGATGAAAAATGATACAATACATTAATTTCGTAAGAAAGAGAGGATGGATAAAATTATAGGGGGGCGCCACTAATTTTTATCTCTCCACATTGGGTAGAAAACTCAAATCCACCAATTAATGACTAAAATAACTTTTTTGCCCTTATTTTAAAGCAAAATAATATTAAATAATTGGTAACATAGTCACTTAGCCTATTACCTATTTTCTTTCCTCCTATCATACCAAACAACATAAAAGAAAATCAACTTCCTTCCTTTCCTTCACATTTTCTTTCTTTCACGTATTTTCTTTTCATTTTGTTTTCTTTCTCTCTTACCAAATGGAGTGTTATACTCCAACTTGTGCATGATATGTTAATTTTTTGAACATCAAGTCTTCTAAACGAGTAGGGACTGCGTCCATGTAAGTGTGGCTTTTGGGTTTTGAATATGTGGCAAAAACTATCGCACCTCCCATCAGTTGGCACTTCTAGTAATGCTCGGACATTAAATTAAATACATTTAACATATTTTCAATTCCTATGCAAAACAATTTCATTTCCAAAGCCAAATTAAGAGTAATCCTACTCCATAGTTGAACCTATGTAAGGTTTAAAAGAAATTATTCTGAAGGTGTCTATATTTGTGTCGTAGACTTTAACAAGCGCGACAAGTCGTTAGTTAAGATTCCAAAGAAATCAAAGCAAGAGAGAGAGAGAGATCAAAGCACAAGAGAGAGAAATATAAATTATTACCTGCGACAAGTCGTTAGTTAAGATTCCAAAGAAATCAAAGCAAGAGAGAGAGAGAGAGATCAAAGCACAAGAGAGAGAAATATAAATTATTACCTGAGCTGCTTCACGCTCTAGAAAATCTTGTATGGCTATCCTGAAACCTTCATTCATTAGGTAATGGCAGCTATAAGTTGTCACAGGCAGATAGCCACGCTGAATCTTGTGCTCACCCTGGGCTCCTGCCTCTACTGTTTTGAGATTAAGTTCTATAGCAGCTTCTATAGCCTGTAAATTGGAACAAATCATACCCAATAACTTATTATATGAACCTTTTTCTTTAAAATTCTCATATTTCATTCATAAAAATTTATAAGGGAAACCTGTCATATCAAACTGATTAAAGAGTAAAGTGACAGGCATAATTATCTTGTGACAAATATGATTATGTTAGGAACCTGGAAATCTGAACTTCATTATCTATACTGAATATGGAAACCACCCATTCTAGCCTGTAACAGATTACAAACTCAAATGATCACTGCCAATTAATTAACCTGGTAATAGCAAGCTTCAAAATGCAAGCTTGGATAGTATGTTCGTGGGTGACATCCCCATAGGCGCCCAAACAAAGTATCTCCTCCGATAAGATTAAGAGCTCCTGCAACGAGTTCGTCCCCTTCCTCAGCGACTACAAGCAGAACCTGATCTCCCATCTTTGATGCCATGATGTGAAAGAAATCCCTAGTTAGATAAGGACTCCCCCACCTGTGAATTAATTCACACAATATGTAAGATGGTTGACTTATGATTGTATAAAATTTCAAATAAATGTAAAGCATAAAAGTTTACTGATATCACTTATCTCAAATTCCAAAATGTCGCTGAAAGCAAGAAAAGAGGTTTAATAGTAGGGACTGTACTTGTTATCTGTTGTGTTTCTGTAGAACCTATAGAAGGAATCCCAGTGACTAGCCTGTAGAAAAATAAAATGTTAAAAGCAAAGTAAATGAGACAGTTTATACAGGAGATAAAGCCCATAGTATAGCCAGTAACACTTTTTTTTTTTCCTTTTATAAGATGTCCAGTAATACTTCATAGTTACATTGCTTAATAGTAAAAAAGAAAAAAAAAATCCACACATGGATAACTATTTTTCTCAGCATTTCCACGGTAAAAAAAAAGAATCAATGAGAAATAGCTTGGAAGGAAACTATGTGGAACATAATGTAGTCAAATACAGGCTTTTTAACGGCTGGTATGTCTTTAGCAATTGTTGTCAATAAGTTTGATTACTGTGCTGCTGACAAAAAGTACACACTTTTTCTCGAAGAATCTTAGAGGTTTCGAAAAATAATTTTGTTTGGCATTAACTTGAACCATTATAATGGTTTGTTCATGATTTTCAAAACACAAATACTTCTATTAGATTCTTTTGCACTTATTATCTTCTCACACCCCATTCTAATTTATCCATAATCAAAGTAGCTCTATAAATTTTAATTATGGATAAATACACAAGTATGGAACCCGGCATTATGATCTCCATCAGACTCAGTCTAGTATGATAGAGAAAATTCCATGATGTTACATGATGATATATATATTTAGTTGCTGGAGAGTTAATATCTTCGATCCGCCCCTACATAATGCAAAGTTTACATGGTCAAATTTTAGGGAAAATCCCATTTGTTGCAGATTGGATCATTTTCCACTTTCGGAGGGCTGGTCGGAGTTGTTCCCATTTGGGCGGCAAGAAGCTTCTATTAGGGCAGTTTCAGATCACTGCCCTATGACTTTGCATACAAATCCCCCCAAATGGGGCCTTCTTCATTTAAGTGTGATAACACCTGGCTAGAGAATAAAGATTTTATAAGAAAATTGAAGGTCTGGTGGGAGAAAGAGGAGGTCAGCGGTTGGGATGGATACAAATTAATGAGGAAGGTGAAATTGCTCAAAGGAAAAGTGAAAAAATGGAGTGTGGAGCAGGCGGAGGCATCTAGGATGGAGAAGGGAAAGATTCTAAAGAGAATCCAGGAGATTGATCGAAAGGAAACGGACCCAGATTCGTTGGCGGGTTTTGTTGAGGAGAGAGAGCTTAAACAATGCTATCTTCACATTGTTGAGTCGGAGGTCAGAGCGTTGGAATTGAGATGCGAACACCAAGCACTTTCGTTGGCTTATAAAAGTGAGGAAAACAAGAAACACAGTTTCTAAACTGGAAAATGTGGAAGGGATTATTGTGGAAGATGAGGCGGAGATTACTAAGATGGTTGTGGGATTCTATGAGTCTCTTTACAATTCTTTGGGAGGTGAGTTTAGTGGAGTCGAAGATTTAAATTGGAGCCCCATTTCAGCTTGTGAGTGCAGAGCTTTTGGAAAACCCTTTTGAAGAAAGCGAAATCAAACGTGCCGTTTTCAACTGTGATGGAAACAAGGCTCCAGGGCCAGACGGTTTAACTCTCTTTTTTCAAAGAATGCTAGGAAGTTGTAAAAGTGACGTTCTTAAGGCCCTAGATGAATTTTGGAGATCAGGTATCATCAATAATATAACCAATGAAACATACATTTGCCTTATTCCAAAAAAGGCCAATTCGAGTAGAATAAAGGATTTCAGGCCTATTAGCTTGGTATCAAGCTTATATAAGAGCATTTCAAAGGTCTTGTCAAATAGACTAAAGGGCGTTCTTGAGGAAACAATTTCAAAGGTCCAAGGGGCTTTCGTTGCAGGCAGGAAGATTTTGGATCTCGTTTTGGTGGCTAATGAGGTGGTAAAAGATTACAGATCGTCAGGGAAAGAAAGGGTCGTGGTAAAGATTGATTTTGAGAAGGCTTATGACCATGTAGAGTGGAAGGTTTTGAACTTCGTGCTAGAGAAGAAAGGGTTTGGAGTCAAATGGAGAAGGTGGATTTCGGGCTGTCTTAATTCAGTGTCATACTCTATAATGATGAACGGTTGCCGATGAAACTTTGTTCTTTAGCTCTCCAGAGGAAGAAAGTCTTTCAAATTTATCAACTATTTTGGATATTTTTTTGTCTGATATCAGGGCTGAAAGTTAATTTGGAAAAAGGCACTATTCTGGTTCCATTGGAACAAGATTCTCTTTGGCATAGAGTAATTGTAGGAAAGTATGGGTTGGATCAGAATAATTGGGACTCTGGGGCTGCCTCGCGAGTAACTTTTCGTTCTCCATGGAAATCAGTTCAATCAACTGCAGAGGGCTTTTTCAGGAAAGTCAAATGGAAGGTAGGTTATGGGGATAGAATCAAAATTTGGGAGGAAGTTTGGTGCGTAGACAGGCCATTGAGTTCCAAATTTCCTGCTCTTTACAGGAGTTTGTCCAGTCACAATCAGCCTATTGCAAGTTTTATTTCTGATCTCCAAGGTGGTGGCTCTGGTTCGTGGGATTTTCAGTTTTCTCGGAATTTGACGGATAGGGAGTTAAGGAAGGTTTCTGAGCTCATTTTGTTTGTGGATAGGGTTAGAATTAATGTGATTAAAGAGAGAAGAGATTGGATACTTGAATCCAGTGGTCTGTTTACTGTTAAATCATTCTATTCTTCTTTGACCTCTGAGGATTCAGCTCCAAGCTTTGCTTATTACACCTAGATCTGGAAAATCCGTGCTCCGATCAAGGTCAAAGTTTTTGGGTGGCTTCTTGCTCTTAACAAATTAAACACTCATGATTTGTTGCAGTGCAGAAGTCCTTTTCTCAATATCTCCGGGCTGGTGTGCTTTATGTACGAACAGCGGTCCCTTATCCCTTCCACATTTGGTCATTTCTCCTAAATGAGTAGGGTTTTTTGTGGGTGCTGCCTAGGAGTTGTGCTGAGCTTCTCGAATTCTCTCCACCATCAGGCCCAAGTTACAGGGGGGTTAATCTTATGGAGGGTCGCGTCATTAGCTGTTTGTTGCGTATTTGGTTAGAAAGAAATAGTAGAGTTTTTGAGGACCGTAAGGAGGCGGCCATTGTTTTATGGGATAAAATTAAGTATTGGGTCTCCTTGTGGGTATATGGGGGTAAGGAGTTCAGTCGGCCATTATTTTCAGATTTTGTTAGGGATTGGTCTCTGTTTTTGTAGCTTGGTCAATTTTTTTTTTTTTTTTTTTTTTCAACTCTCAACTTATTATTTGTATTTTTGACCCTGGTCTGACAGAGGAAAACTCTCCCTTTGCTTTCTAGTGTTCCTGTTTCAGTTTAAATAATATTCTCGTTTCTTTTCAAAAAAATCTCACTGCTAGTCTCTTTAATACACATACTGAAACCAACTTATGAACTCAATGAATGCCAAGTGAGACTGAAGTCCTGAACTTTGGATGAGTTCAGGGTGTGGGCTAAATAATCGAAAACGAAAATATGCATCTCCAAGCATGTAGGAAACTTCATGCTCTTGGTTTCACATAACTATACATAATTTTTACACCCTTATAATATGCCAGACCAAGTTACTTTCACACACATGATTATTTGAATGTGTTTTCTGATGAGGAATAAGAGTAGACTTTGAGAAAAATAAATATAGAAACTAAATGAGATTGGTTAGGATCAATTTTTCCTTATTTTGATTTTAGAAAGTTGTATAATTTTAGTCATTTAATTAATTTCCCGTTTTGGTTTTGTAATTAGACTATGAATTGGCTATATTGTTATGGACAACTTAGACTATTATGATTGATGAATATCGAATTTCAAAATTGTTCTCCCTCTTGAATTTCTTCTCCCTATCTCAATTCCTTAATTTCCCATCTATTTCCCTCCCATTCTCTCTAAATTCCCCTCTTTCTATTCTCTCTTTCCTTTCCCTCTCTAGTTCTATGACAATTGGTATCACAGCCCCGTTCTTTTTTTTTTACCAAATCAGTTCAAATTCTCACGCCCCACTCCCTTCTTGCCGCTGCCAAACAAATCTTTCAATCTATGCTAATTTTTTTTTCCCTCAGTTTCACAAATGTTCCAGAAAGGAAAAAAAAAAAAAAACTATATATATATATATATATCAATTTGCCCCTGTCAATAGTTAAGAAACTATGATCTCTCCAACAATAAGGTTCTGTCTCCACCACCGGCAACAAAGTTTCTTTTTGAGCAGATTGGCTCACGTTATCTTTAGTTGGGTTTTCAAAAAAAGAAAAAAAAAATGAAAGAGTATCAGTAAATTCCACTTTCTTTTGGATGCTTATTCTAAAGTTTTATTAGAATCATGATTTGTGAGTGAGCTTAGATCCATTTCATTTGAATTTTATTTCTATGGTGGGGGGGGAACCTTTCATTATTCATCATTATGTTTCATCACTTACCCTAACAACACCATAAATTTTCACAAATATCATCACTCGCATCACTATTATCATGAACTTATTATGATCCTCTCTTGACACAACCTTAGGTTAGTCTTTATGAACAATCTTATTCTAATTATGATTAACCTGAGCAAAAAGAGGATTATGTGCGCATAATAAATTACACCTTATTTTAACACATTTATTCCATTCAATGCTAAACCTTGCAAGCTTGTTGTTGATGAAGGTAGTGAAATTGATGTTGTGTCTAAAGAATTTATTAAGCGAATGAATCTTCATATGGAGCCTCACCCTAGACCGTTTTGGGTAAATTGGATAGCTAAAGGATTTTTTGAAGTTACTGAAAGATGTCTAATACCTCTTCTTCAATTTGGTCCTTTTAAGATATACGCCTATTGCGATGTTCTTCCAATAAACTTTTTTTTTTTTTTTTTAAAAAGAAGCGAGAACTTTATTAAGAAAGAAAAAAGAAAGACGGGGAAAAGGAACGAAGCGGAAGAGTTATCCTCTAGAACCACCCCCAACTATACAAGAAGAAACGAAAAAGAAACAAACTGAACAAGACTACTAAGGGCTATAAAAAAGGGGCCCATGAAATAACGAAATCCGAGAAGCTTGGTCTCCCAAACTCCTTGTCTCTATACGCCCATAACGACGAAACCCAGTATTTTATTTTGTCCCAAACAAAATTTTCATCCTCCCCTTGATCCTCAAAGATTCTGTTATTCCTCTCCAGCAATAATCCCCAAAAAATAGCTAAAATTGCTGCTCTCCATAAAATCACTCCCTTTTGACTAAATCCAACAGGTGGAGAAAAACCAAAAGATCAACGCAACTTCCCGGCGTCACCCTAGGAAAACCAAACTCCTTTAGGAGAGAAGACCAAATCCTACGAGAATACGGGCAATGAAGAAACAGATGATCAGCTGTCTCCTCGTTGGCTCTGCATAAGTAACACCATCCTGGGGACAATGTAATAAACAGGCTTCCAAGTTGCAAGGACTCCTGAGTATTCACTTTGTTGAGATCTAGAAGCCAACAAAAAACTTGAACCTTTCTGGGGGCATGCGTTTTCCAAATATTTTCATAAAACGGAAATCTCGGAGATGAGGGGTCACTAACCAAAGAGGAGAATAGTGACTTGACAGAGAACAAACCACTATGATCCGGTACCCACTCCCTTCTGTCCTATAACGAACTGATAATCCTAACCCGCTCTGCCGTCGCAATTAAGTCCAACACCTCCCTTAATTCCCTATCCATCAAATTCCGTGAAAAACTGAAATCCCACGAGCTAACTCTTCCATCCTGTGAATCCCAATCAAGAGCAAAGGTGGAAACCAGCTGATCCTTGAATGTTGAAACTCTATATAGGGTGGGAAATCTTAAACATAACGGTCCTCCTACAGTCCAATTATCCTCCCAAAATTTAACAATATCTCCTGAACCAATTTTCCATTTAACCCTTTCGAAAAAAATATCAGCCACCGACTGGACTGATTTCCACGGACATCGAAAAGTAACTCTCGAAGCCGCCCCTGAATCCCATCTATTTTGGTCCAATCCATACTTCCCAACAATAAATTTGTGCCACAGGGCTTCTGTTTCCAGCAAAAACCTCCAAAACCATTTTGCTAGTAAAGCTTCATTTTTCTTCCTTATGTTACCAATACCCAGACCTCCCAATTCTTTTGGTTTGCAAACATGTTCCCAAGCTACCAAATGAGGCGAATTATCCTCAGAAAAGCCCTCCCAGAAAAAATCTCTCATAAGCTTCTCAATTACCCCTGCCACTCCAACAGGAACTCTGAACACCAACAAATAGTAAACAGGTAGAGAAGCAAGAACAGACTGAATTAGAGTTAATCTGCCTCCTTTAGATGAGAAAGCTTTCATCCACCCATCCAATCTCTTTGCAATTCTAGATACCACTGGTTCCCAAAAAGCAGCTTGCAAAGGATTTCCGCCTAAAGGTAATCCTAAATATTTGACTGGCCACGAACCAACCGAACATCCAAAAACACCAGCCAACCTTGACAACCTTTCCTCCTCCAAGTTTATGCCCAGAATGATGCTTTTATCCAAATTAATCTTCAATCCTAAAATTAAACAAAAGATCTCCAAAATAGAGGACCATAAACGTTACTTATATTTTGTTAGGACTTCCTTGGGTTGATGATTATGAGGTGAGGTACACCAAAGAGAATAAATATGTGTTTAGACATAATGGCAAAACCCTTGTGTTGATCCCTACCAAGCCAAAAGAAAAATCTCCTATACTTAAGACCAATCTTCCTTCACAAGTTTCAAGTGACCCCCCTTAGTCTCAAGATGATATACCTATTGAGAAGGTTGAGAATAAGAAAGAAGTTGTGACAAATGATGAGGTTCTTCCAAAATCAAGCTTTAAGATTGAAGCATTTCTTGCGTTGCAGACTGTTGCTTTGTGATTCTTCTGAGTTTAACCTCGACGAAGAGTTCTCCAACCAGGGGCAAATGATGAGGAATAAGAGTAGACTTTGAGAAAAATAAATATAGAAAATAAATGGGATTGATTAGGATTGATTTTTCCTAATTTTGATTTTAGAAAGTTGTATAATTTTATGCATTGAATTAGTTTCTTGGCTTGGTTTTGTAATTAGCCCATAAATTGGCTATAATGTTTTGGACAACTTAGGGTCATTTGACATTGCTTCTAGAGGCTGCTTTTAGCTTTTTAAAAGAAGTTATAACAGGTTAGAGTGTTCGGTAAATCTTACTTTTGTCCAGCAACTTCTAAAAACTACTGTCAAACAATAGAATTTGAGAAGCAGGTCATGGGTTGCTTTTGCACAGCAGCTTTTGCTGCCATTGTCTAAATTTACAAAGATAACCTTAATAATAAAACTTAATTCTCAATCTACCTATTGTCCTATTTTACTTTTTCCATATCAAATTAGAAAACATATATTTTTAAAATAGTTATTTAACAATTGAAAATCTTTAACAAGTATACTATGCTAAAATTTATTCAGATATTTTTAGTGATTATCAAAATGTTTAAAATAACAACAGTAGATAAAAAATTTAGTAGATGAATAATTTTTCACTATCAACAAATGTAATTAATTTTTAAGAAATATTTTAATTAATAAACTTAAAATTATATTTTTTATATTTTGAATATTGACCATAAAAATAGAAATAAAACTAACTATAAATATGTGCTAAAGTGTGTCTATTTTTGTCATTATACATCTCCACATCAATTTTATACACAGTTTACCAAACACCTAAATTTCTGCTTCTGGTATAAACAGCAATTTTGTACTCAACACCTATATGCTTCTGGTCACAGCAACTTATTACTAACAACACAATAACAACAAAAATTCTCAACAGCACAACAATGCCAAAGTAACCCTTAGACTACTATGATTAATGAATATTGAATTTCAAAATTGTTCTCGCTCTTGACTTTCTTCTCCCTCTCTCAATTACTTTCTAAATCCTTAATTCCCCTTCTATTTCTCTCGCATTCTCTCTAAAGTCCCCTCTTTTTATTCTCTCTTTCCTTTCCCTCTATAGTCCTGTGTCACTTTCAGAATCCTTACTAGACTGTTACATTCATACCCATATAATTTGATATATACTTGTCAGTATTTTAGATAAAGCCACTACATCATATATGCGCCTACCAATGTGTTGACATTAGAACAATGAATGCAACTTGAAAAACACTAATCAAATGGTTTTTTTTTATAGAACATGAATCACGTCTGGAATTGCCATATGAACTCTTAAATTAAGGTTAAAACAATATTATTACAGATGTCATGATAAACTTCATCTCTGTGGTGAGTGAGAGTTTTTGACTCAAGCATATAATTACATTTTGAATTCGACATCTAATAGGCACTAGGAGGAAATATTAACTGAATTACCTTTATTTCATGACCCTGGAGCCGTTTCATGGTCAAATTCTGCTGCAAAATCTGCACACGGAAAGTTCATCCTTGTTATTTGCACCTAATGTATCAAAAACACAACTTATTTTCATAAGCAACAGCGTATCACATATCAATCAACTTGTGTTCATTAGAAGATGACAAACTTGAGAAGCACAAATATATCTGATATCTACAAGCACCTATAACTAAAAAAGTGAAAGAACGATGTCTTTTGAGTGTTATTTTGGAAGAATAGAAGTTCCTGAAAGGTTATGAATGGCGATTTTAACATGGGATAACAAAAAGTTTTCTAATTGCTCCACACACAAGAGCCCCCGAATCTAAGTTGTGATAGAGCCATGAATATTGCAATGTCAGACAGACTGATCTTCCTCATTTATTCCTCCCCGAGTCTATAACTTCATTAACTAAAATCTTCTCTTGTAGAACAATTGCTTCATCACCTTTTTTTCCCTTAGCTGGTTTAAACTGTCTGAGTTTTTCACACACTATTCAAATGACAATATCCATTAAAAGCTTACAAATATACTTTTCAAATAGCAATGAAGAGATTTTCTCCGATACCCTAAAGATTTCTCATACATTTCCCTTCTATGAGACACTAAACAATTTGATCTTCCTTTAACAAAAAATGAATGAGTCTAGGAACACCAACTTTTTTACACCCAAGTCTTGCAATATTTTTGAATCGCGCATTTTTAAGGTGACGATACTTGTGCTTGCTTTGTTGGCCAAAGAATTACCACATCACTAGGTGTAAGGAAGTTGGAACAAGAAGTTGACGTCCCTAGTATTACCATTAAATCATGAGAAGCTTTAAAACCAGGCTTCAAAGAGACTAACCTTTTTCCTTTCTTGGCGTATATTTTTCCTTTTACTTTGCTTCATATCCATTAAGAACTCGTCAAAACTACATAATAATTGCATGATGTATTAAAAATTTTGTTAAGCCAAAAGCGAGACATAATAACACTAATATGTCATGCAGATGGGCAATTGTACTAGACATAATGTAGTATACTTAGACTTGGTCGAAAAACCTAAACTAAGTACAACAATAAACAGTACGATGATAAAACACGAAAACAACAAGAATAATGCCTATCTTTGTGGATTCTACCCGAACTGTCACTTGTTCCACCCTGCCCCTGCACTTCAAAATGTGTTATTCAGTTGCCCTGATATTTTAATCGTTTGCAAAAATGCTCTTCCGTCACATTTCGTCCATTTCTTTGACAAAATTGATGATGTTACACTAACCTTTTGCAATATAAAATCTATTTGAAGTATAAACCTTGTTTTTATATAGAGAAACGTACATGGTTTGCCATGGTTTTGTGCAGGCCTATTATTTATGCCATTCTAAATAATTGGATACCATTGTGGCTAATTGAATGGAAATTGTTTATTTTTTATTAGAGTGGCATAAATAATCTTAATTACCATCTTGAGTGGTATTTCTAGTTTTTTCCTCTTTTTTAGAAGGAACGAGAAACTTAATTATTAGAGAAATCCTAACAAAAACCCCAAGTTACCCTTGATACTAAATAGAAAGAAAAAATTACCCCAAACAATTTAAAAAAAAAAAAAAGAAGAGCTGTTTAATCTGAGGTCTGCTTTATTGTTTGTTCATGTCGTTAATAAGTTGTACTGGCTCAAAGTCATTCTATTGAATATCTTGCTTGGTATCATTTTAGATCACTCAAATGGAAAGAAAATACATATTTCTTTTAATTGGCTGAAAAAGCGAGGAAAACAAGAATTGTGACTTCTCTTTGGGTATCGACAAATCCTTCCTTTAGAGGATTTTTCACTTTCTTTGATCAGATTTAGTTGGAAAGATGTTTTAGTGTAGGAACTATATCATTTAGGGATGTTTATTTAGTTTGTCTTTATTGTAGTTTTGGCTTTGATTTTGTCTGTTTGATGGATTTCATATCCATGTCTTTTTGTCCGTGTGATATTTTGATTTGGTCAATAAAAATTTCCAGTCTCTCATAAAAGAAAAATTGGCTCAAAAAGATTAAGCTAATTTTCTTATTAAATATGGTCTGAAGATGTTTTCTTCGTTATCTTCTTGAAAATTGTATAGGATGTGCTCTGACAAGCTTGTAATTATAGGAAAAGATGAAGTCAACCTTTAATCTAGCTTTCAGGATGACAAGGGTTGGTTGTATCCAGGTAATAAAAGTGAACAATTTAATGTTTCTATGCAATAGATTTTGTTGTGTGAGACTTGGTTCTACTGTTGTGAACTCATCTATTCAACATTTCAGCTCCAAGATGAGGCTACTTCAACACTTCGATGCATTGAGAAATATAGATATGGTGCATTTGAAGAAATTTTTATGACTAAAGTCGACTTTCCTTCAAAATATGATCATTGCATAAGGTATAATTTCTCATAATTTCCTTTTTTTTATGGAAAAGGTGATCAAGATTTGAATACAAGGAAATCATTATAGATAGTACAATTTTTTTCCTACTTGAATCCAATTTATATATTTGCATCCACAAGTAGTTAAGAAGAAGACTACATTCTTTTATATCCATATCTACGCCTTTTTAAGTTTTTGAGGATGTATTTACTATTTGTCTATTTGTCTTACTCATTGAATTAATATGTATCATCTTTTACAAATTTTTTAGCCTGTATTGTACTTGTGGTTGTGTTTCAAATTCAATGTTTGCAATTTTAGATTGAACTTCAAGGGAAACAGTGAGGTTTATGCATCAGGATTTTGCTTGGATGATGAGTGTTGGAGACTTTATGAGCAGAAGGTTCATAATGTTCTAACTGAAGGATCAAGTGATAGAGTGAAGCTTGTTCATGTTATTTGGAGAAACACACCGTCAGAATGCTTCATAGAGAATGTATGGGATTGAGCATCATTCTTTTTTACTCAATCTAGTCTATTTGTGATCTGATGTATTAATTTGTTATATAACTGGCTTTCTAACTACAGGGTTTATCGACATTTAGTTCGGAGCCACTGCTTATTGGGATTTCCATGAACTCTTTAAGAAAGGCTTTTAGGGTGGTTGGCATTGGTCCAAATCCTGAGAACAAATATGAGGTAGATGGTTGTGTATTTGAGATTGTTATTCTGCCATGGTTCTTGATGATAATATTTATTCTCTGTTACCTCTCTTTAACATCAAGCTCTCAAGCTTCGAAAGTTTTGGGGGGGAAAAGCAGAGATTACGAGATTTAAAGATGGTAGAATTACAGAAAGTGTTGATAAGGCATTTTCTTTCTTAGCCACTTTTGATTCCGCTTAGACACTGGAAGTATCGTGATCTTTTGCTAAGTTTGAGGATCATGTTGACACAGTCATGTTTGTTTTTGTCTATCTTAGTTTGGAAAAGTGAGTAATGGGAAAGATGATAAGCCTCCCCTGCGTTTTACCTATGCAAGGAAGAGGCTCCATGGGAAGAAACTAGCTGGTGCAGGGGAAGTTGATGGAACTGCGGCACGGGAGAGTCCTATTGGTTGTTAGGAGCTTGGCTGAGTTGGCACAAGGGAGGTGGGGGATTGGAGTTGGTTATGCGTAGAAGTTTGGCATTTGGAGCAGTGGCTTTTCTGTTAGGGGTAGTAGTAATTAGAATAAATAGGAGAAGCGGAGAGAGAAAGGGATACCGAACATTTTTGCCAAGATAGAAATTAGTGAGCTTAGGCTCTAGGGAGTGCAAGGGGTCTCTCGAAAACCCCAATATCTTGTATTCCTTCCTAATTTCTCCTAGTAATATCAGTAAATTCCAGTTTTGATCGGTCATTTTTCTTTGCTTAATTAACGTTTAATATCTGTTGGTTGGTTGCTGGTTCTATCAAAAGACATTTGATTATAAAAACAATTGCTTAATATGTGCTTATTCGGCATCTTTCTCTACCAAAAGAGAATATCACGCATATCCTAGACCAGTTTTTCTAATTTCTTTTCACTTTTTGCTTCTGTTAATAGTGTTTATAGCTTTACTGAAGCAATACTGCTTGCATAGATCCTATATCATACTCTGCAAGCTTGCTCGAGGCTTTTGAAGATTTAACAAAGCTTTTGTGTGCCATCGAAGATATTCCCTTGAAGGTCTCTACTGTGCAACCTTTAGACTCAGGTATTCGTTCCTTTATCAAAGAAGCAATTATTCCTTGCCATTTTTATAATAATTCTTCGATTTGTTTATGCTTTTAATATGCCCATTTAAAGGTTTCGGTTTTCGGTTTAAGTTTTATTGCAGTTGTGCTTTTCATGTTTTTCTTTTCCTCCCATGGACATCATCCAGACCTGCTTGTTGGCAACCAAGCCGCAGCCCAGGAGGTTGAGGATCAACATGCAGGAGGGTCAGCACACAAGGGGTAGTTGAGGCAAGTGTGTGGTAACGTTGACAAACATGGCGTTTCCCATGACCATCAAATCCTCTATCAGGCCGTTGACAAGAAATATATAGAAAAACATAAGTTGACTCACACCTCTAAATAAATAAACTACTTCCTCAGCTCTTCTACCTCAGCTATATGCAGTAATTATGTTAGCTATTTTACCCATGACAAAACAGCTAGGCAAAATGTTCCAGGGCCTTGCTTAAATTTTGTTAGCTAGTTTGGTGTGGTGAAATGCCTGTCTTTGAGATTTCTGTCTTTATTCCGGCTTTCTTGCCTTCATAATCAACCTATAGTGGCATTTGTCTCGGGGTCTTCGTCTCAGGGGAATGGAACTTGTTCTTGGGATTTTAAGTTCTCAATCTCACTGACAGGAAGTTGAGGGAGGTTTCGGAGCTAATTTCTGTTCTGGAGAGTTTCCATCTCATTGATGTTTTGCAGGATAGAAGAGTGTGGGTTCCAGACCCAAACGGGTCATTTTCGGTTCGCTCTTATTTTTCGTTGCTGATAGACGATCAACATGGTTCACCTTTGTTTTTTATAATAGCATCTGGAAAACCCGAGTTCCTTCTAAAATTCAGGTTTTCTGTTGGCTTCTCATCCTTAAGAAAAAGAAAACTCACGATTTGATGCAGCGAAGGAGCCCTTTAATCTCGATTTCACCAGGATGTTGCATTCTATGTAGGAACGAGGGGGAATCGGCCAACCATGTGTTTTTACACTGCTCTTATTCTTTTCAAGTGTGGTCATTTTTCTTGAAAGAATTTGGTCTAGTGTGGGCAATGCCTAAATCTTGCCCAGAGCTCATTGAATTATCTCCTCCCTCTCATTGTAGTCTTAGGGGCAGAATTCTGTGGAAAGTCGCCATTTTAGCAGTTTTCTGGGGCATTTAGCTAGTTAGAAATGGTAGATTATTCGAAGAGCGTATGGAAGGGTGTTCTGTCCTATGGGATATAAAATTAAGCATTGGGTCTCTACTTGGGTTTATAGAGATAAAGAGTTTGGCAGGCCAATTTTTCATATTTGGTTAGGAATTGGGGCCCTTTTCTTTAATTTCATTTCCGTGGCTTGCGTTATTGTGTCTTTTGATTGTTGATTCTGGTTCAATTTGTCACTGTGAGGAAAACTCTTCCTCTGCTTGTACTTTTCTAACTTTCTCAATAAAGTTCTGTTTCTTTTATAAAATAAAAAAAAATAAAAAAATAAAAAAAAAAAGAAAAAGAAAAAGAAGAAGAAAAGTTCCAGGGCCTTGCTATCTTTTCTCAATAAAGTTCTGTTTCTTTTATAAAATAAAAAAAAATAAAAAAATAAAAAAAAAGAAAAAGAAAAAGAAGAAGAAAAGTTCCAGGGCCTTGCTATCAACTTGGTGAAAAGACTCGCCAAACATTTGTGATAAGAAAGAAGAACAAGATATTTTCAGATTTTTCTGACTATTGGCAATAGATCATTTCTTGGGAGTAGGGTATAATCCAAACCATCAATATTTTTGCATGGAGCATTCAAACAATCGATCTGCGACTCGTGGTCAGTATCCCAACACCTATTGCTGCACCAGTTACTGACACTTCGAGCTAAAATTACATTCCATCAGTTTGTATTCCTGGTTTTACTAACCTGGATTGATCCGAAACACCAACTAAAAGTGAGCAGGAATTGATAATGGCTGCTCAAAACAAACACCTTAGCAGGGACTTTCTATCATGTCAACTTCATGGGTTTCTAAGCAAAACTATAGAGCTTGTTGTGTGAACGATAACACTACATCAGACACCTTTCCACTATTTATAAAAAAATAAAATTAAAAAAAAAAAACCCCAAAGATCCCAGATGTGAAATGAGCGAGGAAAACTAAATGTGAGCTTACCGCGAAAGTAGGGGAAAAACATATAGATCCCAGATTTGCTTCCATTAGTCATTTTCCTTTTTTTTTTTAATGTAAATTATTCTTATGCTATACCTAAAAGTGATGCTTATTTACCATTGCAAATATGCTGAGAAAGGAAAGCACTAAATCATATTTGAGGGATAAACAACTTGAGATCGGACCTAAGTGAACATGTTACCATGATGAAAGGAATCTTTTACACATTACTCACCTTTTATAGTTACGGTTTTGCCAATGGTATTGCATTCCAATCCTCGGCAGAAATCCTTTTTCACTCAATTTGAGCCACTCATTTTCAGATGAAAATGTAATGTGCAATGATGATACCTGGAACTGTCAAATGATGGCAATTATAATAAGACATGATGTTCAAGTTTCAAGAACAATAGAACTTACATTCTTCAGTGTAATGGAACACATTACAATCTATGGATCAATTTAAAAGATGGTAGCTAGTCTTTTGATTAAGTACAGATAAAAGGAGAGCCACTTAAAAGATTAAACAAAAAAGCCATCCCAATTTGTGAATAGTGTTAAAGCACACAAAGATGTATGGATACACAGGCAAAAAAATGTTATAAATCTATAAACAGATCGATAAGTCATAGTGTCATTGACTAGGTAGGCAAAGTGAAACCAGATGTTATGAATTGAATCTTCCTTGGCATCAGAAACAGAAAATAGAAAGTCGTTTTGCATAATCCTTTTAACAAACCACAGTAAATGCTCCAGAATACACAACCGTTGTATAAATCTGTCTGACTTGAGTCAGAAAGAATGAGACGAAACGACTAAACAGAAGCAACTAGAAGTAATTCACCAAGCTTAGTAATATCTAAAAGTGGTTTAGAGAAATCATGAGAAAATGAAATAGAAAACTCAAAGCACAAGTATTTGATCAATCCAATACCTTGGCTGTAAGATCCATCAAAGCAGAGACCATAATTTCAAACAGTTGATCTCTGAATGAGGTATTACGGACTAAAATCCTTGGACCTGTAACTGGAGTAAATGGTACACAACATTGTAGCTTCGGATAATATCTTGACCCAAAACTATGGTACGCATCAGCCCAAGAATGATCAAACACAAATTCGCCATAGGAGTGGCTGCTCATCCAAGTAAATGGAATAAGAGAAAGCAAAAAGGCAAAGGAATTCAGTTGCAGCTTTTAAATTGGTGAGGAGTCTAAAAGATTCACTAATTGTACAGAATCGTAGATAATAAACCTTTTAAGGTAGAGTGGAACAACGCCTAGAATGTTTTCACTTTCATCCTTAGCAACGATGTGACGAGGCATCCATCCTGTTTCCTGGTAATGAAAGTGGTGGTTAACATAATGTTGGGTTTTTTTTTTTTTGGTCTCAATCTCAGTCTCATATGATAAGAAATGAACACTAACATTCATAACAGTCAAAATGCAGGAAATAAACACAATTTTAAAAACAAAATAATTTCTAAAAACATTTATAAAATTTTTTGTGCAAGTAACTTTTAACAAAAATAATTATTGGCAGTGTATGAACCACTTATAGAGCTCGTAACTTTCTAAATACCAGTGAAATGCAAAACCTAATGGCATCTTGCCCATTCTATTTCAGGTATATTTTAACAAAAATATATATTGACAATTATCGACCACTTATAGAAAAGGTAACAACTTGAATATGAATTAAATACAGAACTTAAAGACTGTGTCTAGTACCAAAATATTGTTTTTTTTCCCCTATTTTTCTTACTTTATTTCTTTGAAAGGCAATTGATACAAAATAGTCAATAACATAAAAAAGGGAGAAAAACAAGAGCAAGGGGCAAACTAATGACAAAGAATAGGAGTTCAAACAAGAAATCTAAAAGAGACAGGTACAACGGTTTTACCAGGGTAATTCCTTACCTTCACTGCAGAACCAGACTCCTCCAAGCTTGAAAGAAAGCCGTGCGTAAGAGACGGATTTAATTTTTCTGGGCCCGTCGCATCCAGAGCGCACGCATCCCAGCCATCGGATGAGACCTCTGAGATGGAAGAAAGAACAGAAAGCGATACCACTTTCGGTTTCACCTCATTTCTTGATACTCCCTGAAAACAGAACCAACACAATTTATCAACTTATAGAAACTAACAATCCATTGACCATCTCAATTATAAAAAAATAAAATAAAATAAAATAAAAGAACCATTGAATAGGGACCATAAACAGCACCTCTGGGCTTGGCCTTGTCAAAGTAAAATCCCCCAAAGAAAAATCCATTTCTCGCGGCTCAGCGACCTTCTTAGGTCCCCAAAATAGCGCAGTAATTCTAGTCGCCCTAACCGAACTCAAAATCACTTCTCTGGATTGTGATTTTCCCTACATTTGCGGAATCAGCAATCAATTTTCACTTTAGAAAACTACAAGATCAACACATGAACATGAACGTAGTAAAACTACAAAATCTTCCTGAATAATGGCAAGATTAATTAATTAAGAGCGTGATGATTGTTGTGTCATATTCAGAATCATTTCGGGCCCGTTTGGTAACGTTTTCAAAATAATTTTGTTTTCAGTACAAAAGTAAGAATGAGATTGTTTTGAGAATCATTCTGAGACCAATTCTGAAATTGTGTTTGATTGATTTTTTAAGAGATTGTTTTGAATATAATAAAAAAGTAAAATCGTGTTTGATTATAATTATTAATTAATATATTATAACATTGTTGATAAGTATAGAAAATGAAAATAGAAAAAAGAAAACAACTTTTAACTGTTTTCTAATTCATTCACAAAACCCATTCTCACTGTTTTTTATTTTCATTTTCGTTTTCAAAATATTTGTTAAACAAATACGGTTTGTAAACTGTTTTCATTTGTGTATCTCTATTCACAAATCAATATAGAATATAGATGGATACATATCACATAATATAGTATACTTAATACTATATTATTATATATGAATATATAGTATTGTTACACCTATATTATAATTCTACTTAATATATATTTTACATATATATACATTTCCCTATTTATATCGTTTTTAGCGTACAATTTTGAATACTTGAACGGACGTGTAAAAATATTTTCAAAAATAATCTGAAGTCAAATCCAAACGCACCCTTAATTAAAGCAAGAAAGAACCAAAAAAAAATAATAATAATTAAAGCTAATCAAATTATCCAATACCCAGGGAATTTAAAAATAAAAACCTAGTTCTGTACATTATTTCCAATTCAAGATGCGGCAATTATAGGTCACAACAACCAATTGAATGAAGCAAAATTCGAGCGTATCCAGAAACATTTATACTTGATTACAGTGATTATACTTGATTACAGTGATTATACTTTATTACAGTGGTTATAGACACTAATAGATGTAAAGATTCAATGAAATTCAATCGTGAACTAACACAGAGAGAGAGAGAGAGAGAGAGGCAAAAGCATACATACAGAATGAAAAGAGGGTTGGAATTTGCCGAGAAATGGAGAAGGCTTGCAGCAGCAGCAGAAGCTGATTGCCACTGCCATGGCCGCGGGAAGCGCTCTTCTGTGTCGTCTCTCTCTTCCCCCAACCGAACTCCAAGGGGAACAAGAGCAACCAACGGAAAATGCATGCTAACTCAATCAGAACCAAAAAAAAAGGGAGAATGCTTGCGTGGCAAACTCTAAGCCTTGTCATGCGCACAACTATTTTTTATTTTTTTATTTTTTTATTTTGCCTTGAAACCAATTCTTTTAAGAGAAATTTTCATTATTAAATTGTGAAATTTCACTATGCCAGTTTAATTTGTCAATTTGAGTTTTTAATTCGAGTTAAAATGTGATTTTATATGAGAGTTTTTTACTATAGTAAAAAAGTTTGATGTGACTGTTTCTGAGAGCTTTTTATGGCTCGTTTAGTTTTTAATTTGAGTTGAGATGTGACTTTATGTGAGAATTTTTTACTGTAGTAAAAAAGTTAGATGTGAATGTTTCTGAAAGTTTTTTACTGTAGCAAAACTCAAATTCTAAACTTGAATCGGTGAAATGAACGAGACCTTACTGTAGCATAACTCGAATCGGTGAAATGAACGGAGCTATAAATAGTCGCATATGATTTCAAATTATAAGAGAATTTAACTCTAAAGGTTGAGTGGATTGACCAATAAAGACAAATAAAGTACAAGAATAAACACAAGTGTCAAGGTTTGATGGGAAAGTACTCACTCGACACAAAAAATTGAATATGACTAAGGTCTCATTCAGTTCGTTAATCTGTGTTTTTAATTCAAGCTGAGATGTGACTTTATATGAGAGCTTTTAACTGTAGCAGAAAAAATTAGAAGTGACTTTTATGAGAGCTTTTGTAACGCCCCCAACGCTAAACCAATCTAAGGCCGAATTTAGCGAGGTAGTGTTATTTAAAACATACTTTTTATACTTAAAACAATGTCATTTTTAAGATGCGAAAACTTATGGTTGATTTCATCACAAAGTTTTCATAAAAATTTTTGAACAAAATGAGTTAGTGCGCAAAATGATTACAACCATAAATCTTAGACATTAAACTATTATTCAAAAGCGACATAGTAACGGAAAAAAACATTTTGGGCCCATCTATTGTTTGGAAGTACATATAAGCAAGATGCCAGATGTAGGACTTAGAGTACTCATTCAACCTTGGAAATCATTTTTTACTCTTCGGTAACAATAACATCATCTGCATCATAAGGTAAAACTAATGAGCAAAAACTCAGTAAGTAGATTTCAAATAAAATAAGTATCTAAAATCTCTATGGCTGAAATCTCTTTGTTAAACATTGTTCATAAACTTTCATAATTATTCTTAGTTTAGGTATGATACAGAATTTCGGTTCCAAGTAAGCCTCTTTATACAAGACATTCTCTAATTTTGGCCAATTCTATTCTCTTAAACACTAAGCCGGGTTTTTAGAATATATTTCTCTTGTGATCAACAAGAGACTTTACACTAGCATTTTTCTCTAGTTGTCTCAAAGAGACAATTACTCTAATTTGGGACACCGATCTCCCGCCCCCCTGCTTCCCTAGCCTCTCGTCCATATACCATATCATAAAATCTCTTAAAACATAAAACATAATAAACAAATATCATAATCTCTTTCAAAATAATTAATCACGAATACTCTTTGAACATAATCATATAAGAATTTCATAACAGAATAAACTTGCATAATCACAATTCTGAACAAGTTATTTCGTCAAATAGGTCTTGTGATGCAATTTTAAAAATGCTTAAACTTTACTTACTTAAATCCACTTTGCAAGCACAAACTTGCTGGTTGTGGGGAGCCTTCAATATGCTAATTAACCTTTAAAAACCATAGCTTTCAAAAATCACATTCATATAATCATTTACAAAATACATAACTGCGTATTGTTACGAAAATATTCATAACAAATTCATCAAAACTCAAAATATTATGAGACTAGTGGCAAATAAAAGTAGACTCAAAACCCTCTTTTAAGAGTCACTACATGATAGGTTTTAGATTTTTCAAACTAATAAAAAAACAACCTGAAATTCATATTAAAGTATAATCTCATCAGGAAAATGACAGCTTTTTAGTTGAACTTATAAAATTCATAACTAAATGTAGAAAAATTCGTTTAGACGTAAAGCTTGAGATGTATAATTTAATAGAAAAATATAAGATTCTTCAAAATGTAACACCTCGAATAATTAAATGAGATTAATTGAGATAATTAAGATTTATTAGTTTGTCTATTCTGATTTAATTAATTAGTTTTTGATTAATAAATGTTTCTGATGTGTAATTTAAATAGTTTCAAGGTATTTAAATATTCTCATTATTTATATTTTAACCCAGAAATGTGTATGGGCGCATTTTTTGACTATTATTTTAAAATGTTGACACCTGTCTATTTTCTTTTCTTTTTCTTTTTCTTTTCTTTCTTTTCCTTCCTTTCTTTCTTTCCTCCCGTGCATACTCTCTCTCTCTCTCTCTCTCTTTGTTCACTCTCTCTTGTTCTCTCACTCTCACTCTCTCTCTCGGTTGTCTGTCTCTCCCGTTTTGTTTCAAATCAACCGGCTTTCGAACCAAAGGAAAGTTTCAAGAAGTTTTCAACGTCAAGAGAAGGATTTGAGGTAAGATCTCTGAAAAACCTCTCTTGAATCTTGGATTTTTGGATTTAAAAACTTATTTTTGGTTCGAAATAGATTTTGATGGTTTTTGAGTAAAATCGATGTAGAAATTAGAGATCTTGGGTTCTTTGGACTTATTTTAGGACCTAGAACCCGGATCTAGTGGTTGTCCCTTGAAATATTTTGATTTGGGACTGGATTTGCAGGTTTTCGAACTGATTTCTACAAGTTTTCTCGCACTGGTGTTCTTCACCGGTCGACCTGTGCGGTCGACCGGATTGCATTGGCCTGACCGGTCGACCAGTACTGTCGACCGGATTGCACACCACCGATCGACCAGTGGTGTTCACTGCTCTATCACCGGTCGACCGGTGTACACGGGGTTTGACCCTGTTTAGCCTGAAAATGTTGTTTTGACCTCTGTTTTTGAGGAGGACCCAAATTAGCTTCATTTAGGGACCAAGAGTAGATGGATTAGCATCTTTAATCCATGTTTTGAGATTAAAAACCCTTGGAATGATAATTTGAAACATGAAATGGTTTGTGGAACCGGTAATTGAATTATGGCACACTAATAGGAAATCAAAGGATATGATTAAGTCTGAATTACTTTAGGAATGAGATTGGAATCCTAAAGTATTATCTTGTAACAGTGCTAGCTAAGGACCCGGATTGAGTGGCTTGAGGAAGCGGAAGCTGGAATAGTGCACCGCTAGCCACATGTTTGATAATTACGAGGTAGGATTTCTATCCCCTTTTCTTTGTGAGCCTGATTTTCAAAAGGAGTTTTGGCCTTACAAATGTTTTAAAGAAAGGGGCTTGTTTGTGAAAGACAAATCTTTAAAAGCTGTGGCTTGTTGTAGTTCAGGGAACCCATGGCTTGTTGTAGTTCATGGGACCCACGGCTCGTTGTAGTTCGTGAGATTATAATAATAATTTCATAAAGTTTAATGAATGATTTCTTAAGGAAAGAGATCTTGCGAGCCGGTAAGCCTGCTTATGGCCTAGATAGGATGTGGAGAGTGCATCCTCGGGGGCAGAACCCGAAACCCGGCCCGGGAAGGCTTGTGCACTTGATTGTGTAAGTAATTTGTATAAATTACTTGTTGATGCCTGTAATACGGTGATTTTCAGTTACATTTCTTTTGAGAAAAAGGATGTGAGGTTCTGGCTGTTGTGTTGAAACTGATTGTCTTATTTATTCACTTAATCATTTATTTATTTAACGCTTTCTTATTTATTTATAAAGTTTATTTTAAATATATCCTACTGGGCCTTTCTCTCACATTTTATTGTTTTAAAAATGTTAACCCCTCCCAAGAGACTCTAAAAGCAATACGGAGTAGTGGGATTATTTGCTACTGATCGATCAAGTGAGGATTGTGTTAATCATCTTGAATAAATGTAAGGATTTGCAAACTCTGATATTTGAATTTCTAGACTGTGGATGATGTATGTAATGATTTATTTACATGTCATGTATGTACAGTAACGAGATTCTGTAGAAAGACCCTGTACTTTATTTTAATTGAGTGTGGGGCTCGTTAGGAATTTCTTTTATTGTCATGCGTTCAACCCCTAATCGAGCTCCACGTCACCGACCCTTGTTCTGGGGCGTGACAGAGTGATATCAGAGCCCTAGGTTAAGAATCCATAGGATTGTACATACACGTGTGACATCAAGAATCCACTAAACAATCTAGTTTCTTGTGAGATAAAGGAGATGCCGCCGCGTCGTAGGTCGATTAACAACCCGGCTCCACAGAACCAGGATTTCATGGATGCTATATATGCTGCTTTTCAAAGCATGGCCACTCGAGCTCAGAATGAGCGACCGGCCGAGGAAAGGAAGCAGGGTCACTTCCGGGAGTTTAGGCGTGCACCTATCCCTACCTTTAATAGTGAGGGAGGACCCCAGAAAGCGTAGTACTGGCTTGATTCCATCATGAAGCACCTGAACACCATGGGAATACCGGAGGAGTATTGGGTGGAATTCGGTGTGTATAAGATGAAAAGTCAAGTAAGTACTTGGTGGAAGTAACTGAGAAGGAGAATTGATGTTGCGGGAATGACTTGGGAACAGTTTGAAGTTCTCTTCAATGAACAATACTTTCCTCAAAGTTACCAGGATGAAAAAGTAATGAAGTTTATGTCCTTGCTCTAAGGTGACATGTTGGTGAGGGAGTATGAGGCAAAATTCAATGACTTGTCCCGCTTTGCGCCATCTCTTGTGGAGTCTGAGCATTTGATATGCCTAAAATTTGAGAAATGTCTTAAGAACTCTATAAGGAGACCCTTAGTTGCTCTAAGGATCCGAAATTTTCGAGACCTGGTGGCTGCTGCTACAAGTGTGGAACAAGATAACTTAGCCTATCAGCAGAGTAAGGAAGCAGCTGGTCGCGCTTCTGCTTCTGGTGGACCTTCTGCTTCAGGCGGGCCACAGCGGAGTGGTAGAAGAAACCGCAATCAGGGACAGATTAGCGGGGAAATGGTCAGTGGT